TACACAAATACACTAAAAGGGCAAAATTGTTTTATATCAAATAGAACTTTATTTCTAGCCATCTATTTTCTGTTGCAGACACGGCAAGGAGTTCGTAGACTGGCCCCGCCTGGACGCGGGCGGACTGGCCGCCGCGCGCGCCCTGCCGCCGCCGCAGTCGTTATGATCATAGACGCGCCGCTCGTAGTCGTCGTCTAAACATACTTATATACCCATCCCGCTCGCACACACTGTGAGCGAGCGAGACAGACAGCTTGTCGGTAATCACGCCTTTTTATTCTAGTGTTGTCTTATCTTTAGTTCAATGAATAACTGTGTTAATGCTAGGAAGTTAAAAGGTCTTATACTAGCGGTTTTGGGAGCGCATACTTCTCGGCTGTGTCGCGAATACTCTGCGGTTGTGTGGCATATACTCCGCGTCTGTGTCGCTAATATGCCGCGGGTGTGTCGTAAATACTCCGCGGCTGTGACGCGAATATACCGCGGATGTTTCACGTATACGCCGTGGCAAACATTTAGTTGAATAATTACAGGTCTTAAAACTATGAAGATAAGGTTTAAACCTTGTTCACAATAGAAATTGATGACGTGATTTTAAACCTTTTTTGTTCTTATGTCCCTTTCAGTAGGGTTTCTTTTCATTTCAAGTATTTATTATGGTTGCTATATAAATATTAGGTAATGCGTGTAGTTAAAGTATTTAATAAAGTTTCCTATTTTTATTAAAATAAAGAGGTTCTGTGTCTGTGTGAGTGATGTTGAGTGGAAATAGTGAATTGAAATTGAAATATTTGTTAGGAATTTTAGTATTTTGGGGTTTTTGGAGCCTTTATAGTATTTTGAGTTCATTGATATACAGTTATCTCTATCTACATGTCGCGGAGAACCTAACGGGTAACCGGGGCTCCGGCTCGACGTGCAGGAGAAGGAACGGGGTGGTTTTTAGTCAGTAAGAGTCTGACACTCCCTCCCGCCTCACCCAGGCGAGAGCAGTCATTCGACGATTTTCCCCCCTTAAAAACAAAAAAATTTTGAAAAATCTCTATCTACATTGGTGACGAAAATTGGGTCGGCAAAAAAGGTTTGACCAATGTTTGTCCAATTTTTAAACGTGGTTTAATGGTAGTTACGATGTTTTAACATCTATCTTATAAATTAATGAAGAAATCTTATAATAATGAACTTAGCGTATTTCCACAAGCATACGAAGATAATTTAATTTCATATATTGCATGTTACTTCTACATTCAAAATATTCGAATATAGATGTGGCATTGCAAAAACTATGATTAATAAATTATATCTGAGTAGTTTTGTTATTTCGAAAAATAAAAATATAAGCACGAGTCTTATATTTTATCATTAACTGACAAACTAACAATATAATTTCTTTTTTAAAATTTCAGTATATCTTTGTATATCAATGAACTAAAATATAATATATAAACAAGCATTTTTTTGTATAGTACAAAATAATTAAACAAGTGGCTGTTACATTGTTATACCCTATCAAAATATAATATTTAGGAAAAATTACTAAATTATTTATTTTTAAGACAGGCAACACTAGGAATAAAAAGGCGTTTCATAAAAACCTTCACACGACTTTCTTCCTTAGAACACATAAATCAAAGTCTACCACAGTTTTGAACTTAAACTTTATTCCTTATAACATAGAGTTCATTTTGTATATTTGTCGATTGAAGATCAAACGTCCACGTACAAAATATTGAGAAATTTACGAAAATGTCGTTGGTATAATTATTTTATAGATGAGAAAAAGTAAATTTAAATGGTAATGGTTCTTACTGCGGTACTCAGAGACGTCTAATGATTACTTAAACTATTTTTACTGACGACTTTATTCCGAAAACAATTATGTACTTGCCTTAATCAACAAAAAATTATTTCGACTGTTCAATACAATCAAATATTAAAACGTAATCACACTTTCATTAATTGATTTTATGACCAACTTAATTTGAGTATTTTTCCAGCAAGTTTTTAACAAATAAGTATGCTGTTGGACGCTAAGAAAACGTGACGTCACAATACACAATCTCGTACAAAATTCATAGAAAACTGTCGTTTTTGACAGTTCGAAAAAAGTATTGAATTTGACTAGTTGGCAAGTACCCAATTGATATGGTTAAGGAACCGCTTGAATGCACAGATATGAGAGACAATAGCAAATACATTGTGTTTCGGGTGGATCCGCGTTTGAATTTGAACACAAGAGAAGGTTAAATGCCTCTGTGTACTGCTGTTAATTGTACAAATTATGTTATTTTGTTAACTTGAGGAAAGCTTGTTAATAAATTAAAATGTGTATACTGCTTACTGTTGTAACTGTACGGCAGTGCTCGACCAGTTTCAAGCCACAACCGGGGCTCATAAATCTGACCTACTGTTAAACAAAGCCAGGAAGCTTGATTCTTTTTAAACTTTTTCTTGTCTATATATATAATTACAAAAGACATTTTGTTAGACCAAACTTGTTGCTATTTTTGCTTACTGTCAATTTATTAGGTGTTTATTTGAACTTGAAGTTTTGAATAAGGATTGTGCTATTTGATTGTTGTTCTATCTCTCTCGCACTACTATTTGTAGCTACAGTTAATCCCTGAATTGAATTGGACTCAAGGAACTAATTTTTGTAAAATGAGGCATCTCAAGTCTTGATTTGCAATTATCAGATCTCAATCTTGAAATTTTTCAAGTAATTCTAAAAAATCTAAATAAAATACGCAGAACAATGTTTTCACCTCAAGTTCAAATAAACTGCCTTGTTCAACAAATATTTTATAGTAATATGTATTAGCATTCCATTTGTGACTCGTATGCGATTTGTTGGACTAAATAATTATTTTATTTGCACTCAAAATAAACTTCGACAAAAGATTCCTATGAATAAATATAATAAAAATATTATCCCAAAATTGAGAAAAATATAATTCGTTATTTCAGGTTTAGTAATATAGCACGTTTGTTTGGCTGTATACACATTCAATTGTACAATTCAGCCAATATAGTGACGAAAAATAAGTTTATTTATTTACCCAAATTTTATTGCTGTGCAAAAATATACCTTATCTCCTAAAAATACGGTCTAAAGTCCAACAAATCGCATAGTCTTGTCTTCACAGAACAAATATTATTGGCAGCAAGCCAGTATGTAGGTTCTAGCTTTTATACCTCTTTTCATTGAATATACCTAATGTGTGATCTGTGGTCCTATAATTATGTTCCTGGGCAAGGAATTGACAGTTTATTGTGTATGGATGCGCGGGAGTTTGGGTTTTAAACTACAGTCTCCATAAATTTCAACCTTATTTTAGCGGTATATAGCTGAATATTGAGTAATTGTTGAATATGTACTTAATTATATTGGTAGACCGATTTTAGTCGCTAAACAAATTGAGCGACAAGGATATCAAGTTTTAACTATTTTAAAAACTGATTGTAATTTGACGACTTTTAAAACAAAATATTATTAAAAAGGTTCTAAGTACCTAATGGATAGTGTGGCAATGTCACATCTAACAACAAATAATTAAAATAATATCTTAATCGATTCGAAATTTAATATTCGCATTTCGGAACGATGAATATCAATGAGATAAACATCGTATAAAACCTTGCATTGTTCGTCTGACAGCCATGACGGGTCATTCACCTTAGTTTAAAACAAAGTATAAACTTGCGTTGAACAAAGAAGCAATGACAGAAAGAATTTAGACTAGTTATCAACTTATAGTTTATTTTAAAGGGGTATGTAATATACGTTGGCAAAATTTAAATAACAGCCCAGTTCAAATCTGTACTAAAAGACATTGTTTGATCAGAAATAATGAAGGTGTGCATGACAAATAAATATACTTACTTTGCCTTCCTTCTAATATTATTTAGGTAAGAATTTAGGAACTTTATTCTTTCTTTGACAATAATAGTGAGTGGTTTCCAATAAATAGTAATTATAATTTTGTGTATCACAAACAAAGGTACAATATTTGGCGCCAAAATAAAAAGGCGTCAGAAAAAAGTTGCATTCCAAATTCAAATGTAATTAAAAACCCAAACTGTCGCGTGTAGTTTTGTTTCCGGTACCGAAATCTAAACGACGACTCGAGACGGCCGATAGTCGATAACCATAGGAATAACATTGCGAATATAATTTAAAAAAAAGCATTTAAAACCTTGCCTTTTTCGTTCATGTAAATCTATGAATATCTTTATAGGTAGCAAATACTTTTGTTTTTTTTTACAATAAAAATGTACCTATTATGTATAGATAGAGATGCTATTTAGGTTTTTTATGATTTATAACTATGTACTGTAAAGAAATCTAAACAATTTCAGCCTTTCTATCTACCTCTATGTAGTGTCTACCGCTCCCAAGTTAGCGGTAAAAAAATACAATTATCTTTATTTCCGCAGTGTTATTTCAAATGGTGTGTTATAAAATAATATTGTTATATTTTGTCATCTTATGTAATTTAATAATTTTAATCTTGTAATTTTTATGAAGAAGATATTTCAATAAACAATTAATCATACTTGGGTTTTGATTTAGTTATTAACACCTAAACTGTAATTGCAAATGAATGAAGGATGCCTTATATTTCAAACCGTTAATATTAATTATCATTTTCCGTATCTTAAAATTACATAATAAATTATACCTATTGAACAATTTTGTTAGTATTTTTGTAACCTATTGGTAACCTATTATACAGGTCAATGATTTCGCACTAAAGTCAATAACTCTGTGAGTCATAACATGTTTATAAATAAAAAATACAACATTATGTAAATACTTTTTTTTTCAAACGAATTCAATTTGAATGCGTCATTCGGTATATGAACGCATTCATATCGATTGCTGTGATGCTGTCAGTCAAACTGTCACCGCTCTGTCTGCGACTGTTCAAAAACCTTAATTTCAAAAAATAAATCACATTATTTCACGCATATTTTGTTGTCTATTTATTTTAAAACATTATAAACTCGCCGAATAATATCCGGTAAACATAGATATGCTATATTACAATAAAAATGGTAACTATAGTCGAATATTGTCTTACACTAACATTAAAAGCTGTATTTGGAAAAAATGGAACGTTTATAATGACTGCCACGCTACAACCAGTTTCAGAACGCAAGTTCCGTCCGTCTGTCGGGTGGTATTGGAATACGCGAAGCGAGTCCACTGATATTTATCGCCGTATTATCTCGTACGCTAATAAAACACAATAATTCTATGATAATATATTTCGAAATTAATTTTTTCACTGATATCCTGTGATACGTGCGGAGAGTTTTTGTGAAATTGTAGAAAAAAAATGTGTTTAGTAAAGTGAACGATTTTGCTTGTTTTTTTTTCGCGATTGTCGGCGCCAGAATGTCTGATGAGCTCGAGGCTCGGATGTGGGACGATGGGGCCTCCCGGTACGAGTCCAGGGGCCGTGGCCCTTACTTCGAGTCAGCTTTCGCCTCAACAGAACATTTGGACAGAGCACCTTTGTTGTCTGAGGTAAAACCAATTTAATGTATTTTTTTTTCATCGCTAAAGTCATAACAACGTTTATAGTGTTCATAACATTTTATATTTTATCCCATTAAACTTACTTATGTTTACAATATTTTGCTTCCTTTCTGTAAGTTATTATTTAGGTGTCTCTAATAAATTTTAGAAACAAAAAAAGAACAGTAAATAATTAATTATTTTTTAAACCAAATTCGAATTTTAAAATTATTACTTACTTAACACGTTCGAGGACAGAACGAGATTATACGTTATCGTTCGAGATTTTAATATCGCACAACGTACGATGACGTTCAAATAACATTTAAATTATACGGCAGAACGTTCGTTTCCGATGAAAGTTCAAGTAAAATTCCTTTTGAATGTATCTTGTGTCACAACACATAAAATATCCAACACTGTACTGTCACGTAGGGCAAGTTTAGAACTATTTCAAATAAGTGCTGTTGATAGTGTGCGGTTACGGTATTTACATACGCACAACGTATTTATACGTCCCGCGCTCCTACGTTCAACGCGGCTGTGTCACTGTGTATTATGTGTTTAATGCAAATTAATGATTTTACAGTGTGAAATTGATGTTTAATGGGTTATTGTATGTTTTAGACGGATATAAGCGCAAATAAGGCATAGGATAAGCATGTTTGATGATTCCGACACCTCCAACGAGGCGTATCATTACCAAGATGCATATACACGGTGACGTGATAAAACGGTTGTGTCATGATATGTTTAAAACAATATTTTTGCATGGGACACTACGTACTGATACATCGTATAATTTTGTATAGACATTTACTGTGTCATTCTGGAAACCCGACTCAAGTGGTAGCATCCTCGAACGTGTTAATTTTAATAAACATAGACTATAATCTGACAATGTCCTTAGACACCAGAATATTAAAAAAAATCATTAAAATCTAAAAACAAAGAGTAGCTAGAAGACCTTATTCAGAGAATGATAAAATAAATATTTGATAATGATAAGATAACAGCATGTTCCACTTATCTAGTTTTTGTAGTTTGTATTTTAAATATTATCAAAGTAGCTATACAGATTCATTACAATTTTATCTTTTTGTGTTTTGTCATCTCTTAAAACATTTTAAATGGCACAGGAAACAGTTTTATCTAACCAAATAAGTTATTTGTAGCCTAAAATACTTATTTTTCTGTTTAAAGATAAGTAGTAAGTACTTTCTGCATGTCAACAATCATGGTTCCATAGTTGAGTGATTAATATGTTGATAAATCATATCGAAAATCCAAAAAAATTGTATATTCAATAGTAGTCTTTAAACATTGGAATAATGGAGTTAGTGGAGAGCAGTTAAGGAGTTTCAAGACATGCTATAAGTTGATTTATCTTTTTATAATAACTATCGTGAGACATACTAAATTAACTAAAATCAGTGAGCTGCGCGACGTCGCCGCGACTGCGTACGCTGCTCATGAGGAAGAACCCCCCTTTGTTTCGAAACTAGTAGAGCTTTTCTCAGTATATTCACGTGAGTAACCCGCGATTTTAGTTAAGTTGATTTATCAATTTAATTAAAAATATATTCCCCCATTTTCTATTATACAATAATGTCAGAATAATAAATTCCATTCTCCATAAGACATGAATAAGAATGCTCTTAAACAAAGGAAGTTGGTATGCATGTAGTAATTTTTTGGCAGAATAACTACATAACATATGTAACAATAAAGGATATTTAAATTACAATAAATGAACATTTACAATACAATCATCATTTATAATGTTGGAATTCCTTTACATTCACATAATATGACATAGCTATTCTCTGAATGAGCAGGCAGATATCATGTTGTGATCTCTATGTAGCAGGAGTAGTCTTTTGCCCAAAACCAGGCTCTCGTCCAATTAAAAGTTCTTCCAATTAAAAGCTTCCTTGTGCTTACTGGTAAGGAGTCGAACTACTTGTCAGAGTCTGTGTTTCCTGAAAGGTATAACCTGGTTGTCTTTTAGGCCCGAGTGAATAGGTTGCTTATGGGACGACAAGCTGCCTCGTAGACCGCATCATCGCTTACCACCAGGCAAGATAATGATCAAACGTCAGCCCATCAAAAATAATAGGCTTTTCTCAATAGTATTGCCACCTGTAGTAACTATACTTTAATAAACTAACTAGGTAAATAATTAAATGATTATCTGATTTTTATTGAAACTGGAAATTATATTCCTTTTTTTTTGACATCCTATGACTTCTCCCGCCCGAGTGAGACGAGAAGAAGTGTCAGACTCTTACTGACTAAAAACCACCCCGTTCCTACTTCTGCACTTCGAGCTGGAGCCCCGGCAACCCGTTAAATCTTCCGCGGCTCCGTATCGGCATCAGCCCTGTTGGGTCCCATCTGTGGTGGTCTGATAGGACTCTGTATTAGGCAAATTAAAGTCTCATGTAATGTGGGGCGAGGGCGACCTTATTGAATTCTTTAAATTTTTTAAACTGGTATGGGGGCTTTTAAGGTTACTATAGTCCTGCATCGTAATTTATGTCACCATAGCCATGGCCTACTGATAATAGAAAAAATTAAAATAATTACCATAGATTGCAATAAATTTATCATCATGTAAACATGGTGCTAACTGTTAAGGAATATTCTATAATGATTATTTATTTATGGTTTACAAACACATTGGTAATGAGCATAACATAAATATGGCTACTGATATCTAACTAATTAATCAGGGAAGTGGTATGATAATTCATAGATTACATTTAACTATTTATTAATATTTTCATGGAGAAAAACGATCGCAATACTTAGTTGATGGGTTCAAATAAGTCAGTGTTAAGTTCCTAGATAAGATATGGTATTATTGAGTATTTTGTTTAATGAAATTGAGCACAAGAGCAGGACGTCATAGTATATTTTCCAAAAGACCAGCTGCCACGCATTAAATATTAAAAAGGACTATTTAAAATCTTTGCTTGCCTCTTGCACCTACCATTTACTCTTCTCTGCATCACCCAAAAGTCAGACTGGTAGAAAATGCCTGCGGCATTAAGTCCATCTATTTGTGCATTTTGTGCATGAAGCATAATAAATAAAATTTAGATCAGACTATTTGAAAAGTGAATGTGGTAAATTCTAATTATTTATTTATCTAATTAAAAAAAAATGTTTTTTCATTGTGTAAAAAAGTACAGAACGAGTAGGTACTTAGTAGTTTTTACAATTGTAATATTATATCTCAATTTAAGTAATATGTTGTTTACAAGGGCACAAGCATACAATTAATTAGTTTATGATGATAGATATTTGGTACATTTTAATTTTATCTAGATATATTTGATACTACAGCTGATATAAAATACATGCAGATATTATATTGGGTTATCTATACATTTTATAGTAGGTAGTAATCTTATATTTATAGTAGTTATAAACATTAGCAGTAATCAGTACTATGTATACAAAGTCATACACAATATACAATTTTAGTGGATACGTATTTAGTGTACAGTAGTAACCATAGATAAATAACTGAGGTATTCCTTGTAGCGCTCCCGTTTTGAAGCGCGCCCATCTAAGCATCTAAGCGCTTTGAGGGACGATTAAAAATATTAAAATTTATTTCCTCGAAGCGCTCCTATGATTAACTTTCGGATAGAGATGGGGCTTTACTAATTGACATTATCGATAAGAACTAAATAAGAAGTAAATCCTTTGGTCCTTATTATCTTTCTTATGTCGTCAAATCCTGCCGAATGCGAAGCCGGGACGGGCCGCTAGTTGTATATTATAACAATGTGTTCTACTTATTACCTAGTTCTTATTATAATAAAACGGGAGCGCTTAGAGGGGCGCGCTTCAAAACGGGAGCGCTACGAGGAATACCTCAAATAACTCTTTAAAATACTCCTTCTGAGTAACTTTTATAAAGGCTTTTACTTACATTTTTCTTTTTTTATTTATTTTTAGCCATTATCGTCCCACTGCAGGGCAAAGACCTCCCTACCCTCATTCCACTCGTCTTCTCGGCTTTCTGTGGCCAATCCTTTCATAGTTACATTTTGAAATGGAAATTTTAATACCTACCTTTACAAGACCGAAACAGAAAGGAGGTAGTTAATCCACAAACAAACGACAATATCTAAAGTAGCCTAGTATATTCGCAAGCTGAAATGGCAGTGGACCAACCACATAGCTGATAGAACTGCCGAAGTACCAGAAAGTTTATTGAATGGATGCCGCATCCCGGCAAGCGCAGAGCAGGACGTGCACATGCTGGAACAGGAATCCACTCCACTGGATACAGGTCATCTGTATTTCCCGACAAATGTGTCCAGTACCACTCCAGTGTCTTCAAGTTCTGAGTGAGCAGGTTGCTCATAGGTAGGCGTGCTCCATCGTCGTCCACATCATCACTCACCATCAGGCGAGATGGTAGCCAAACGATAACTTATCAAGTATAAAAAAAACTCCAACAGGCCGATCTGGACTGGATGTCTTGTGACTGATACCAGTAATGATGATAAATTATCCGAAAGGCTAGACTTAGTGGACTTCGGTTTTTTTGCTAAAGGAAAATTAAGAAATATTTTTTGATGGACAGTAAATATTAATGACTATTATAAAACTGTACTCAGATAAGATATTTATATGTTTATCCTTTTTAAAATTTTTATTGTAATTTATAACTGCGACGATAACGACGGTAACGAATGATCTCGTTATTATAACGGCTACGTTAATAAAAGCCGATAAAAAATCGTTAGTGCAATAAAAGTATTAAAATAATACCTAAGTACTAGACCTTATCGTCGTTGTGTAATGTAGAGTACATTGAATATTTGGTAACTATGTTTGTAAACGCACCCACGACACCGGAAAAAATTCCAGCGTGGGGGAAAGTTAAAAAAAGTTTTTTTTTAATTTCTCCCTTTTTCCCCCCATGTTTTAACGATAATGCGTTCAAACAAGTAAAGAGTTCATCATCAACAGCCTATAATTGCCCA